AATACCAAGATTTTAATCGTGAATTTTGTAAGGGAATCTTAGCGAAACATACCACAGCCTCGTCCGTAATAAACCAGACGCAGTTTGCCATAAAAGGCTTCGTCAGTTTTGCGCATTAATTGGGGTCAACTAATTTGGCTAAAATCCATGAACGCAGAAGCATTTACCAAAGACTTAGCAACTTAAGGCGTTGCAATATGGGTGAGGTATGCAACCTAAATGGTGTGTAACATTGCGTACCATCCGCTGTCAACGGCATTGACTAATCTACCATTTGCTGACGCTGTCTCACTAGAATCTGTATCCACAACATTAGAAACTAGAAGAGGTTATATGTTTTATATATTCTCATTTATCACAGGATTATAGTTGTAATTTGTGTGAGAGATACATCCATATTTGTAAGCAAAATAGCACAGACAATATAGAAAAACAACCGGACGCAGTTTGCTCAATTAAGGCTACACTTTTATTCCCACACTCACCGAAACCTAATGGGGAATTAAAACCAGGGATCCTAGATGCAGGTGCCAAAACGTCGTACGTGTAAGCCACTGTAAGTTATGTGAGAATTTGACTGGGCTACTTAATTCCCAAATATTTGCTAATTATTTTACATATTGCTTTTAGGTAAATCGAGTTAATTTGTATTTCATCTAACGTACCCATCCTATTATGTCGCCAGATTCATAGCACAGCCTGGACTGGAAAAAAAGCAGACACGTTTCGACACGTTTCTGTGTTGTGCTTCGTTTCAGTTCCCTAACGTTGATTGAAACCATGATAACTATTGACAAATCTCATCTAGCCACTGGTACCTGGGGGACGTTACCTACTATATTTAATTTAAACAATAAAAGGACATAACAATACCTTTTTTCCAACGTCACTTACAGAAGGTAGCCTGCGAGATGAAAACGTTCTAATTATAGACAGTATATCCATAGCCATTGAAACTAGTAGACGTTACTCATTTTGTATTGCTTTTAACTGGGTGGATTAGATTATTCCTTTTTCAAGGTATAATCCTGTTAGGTCACAATGTACATACTGCAGTGTAGTCCCAAAATATACCGGATGTTGTTCGCTCTATTTAGGCTCGCCAAGTTTGTGCAGTCTCTCTTGTACCAAATGATGATCACGCACATAATTGTGTAGGCGGATGCAAACTAGAGAGAAAGTTAAGCCACTGTGCCAAGGGTTTTTTTAGCTGGTTTACATAATTTGCATACCAAATTGGATAAAGCGCCACCTGTCTATCGCTATCATTGACAATTGCTAGCATGTGGTTTGTTGTTGTCTTAAAACTAAACTATATATCCATAGCCTACAAACTAGGTCAGGCTAGTTACTATATATTTATATAAGTCGCCATGTTAAGGAATTTATTAACATGTTTGCTGACGTACGCATCCCAGTAATTACCCGGATGCGAAGCAAAGTTTATTCCGTGAAAGCACCAGAGGCGAAACGACGCACTGAGGCTTGTCTTTCGTGCGCGTACCTTAGAACTTTTATGGGGATTAACCCATAGTAGCTACATGCAAATGCCCACTAACTAGCAGTTTAAGCCACTGAGGCATGTAGGTGTTAGTTTGTCTGCCTAGTATGCAAATTCACTGAAATATAGCACTGCATACCTTTCACCATCATTGACAGTGGATAGCTCGCAATATGATGAAGTCCTCTCACTAGAAGTCATATCCATAGCAATCGAAATTAGCCGAGGCTATTTGTTAAATATATTAATATTATGTAGAAAGAGTTGGTTGTAATAAGGGTAAGGTATTCACCCCTGTTGTTAACAAGCTACATAGCACAGCCTATTCCTAATAAGCACTTAGGAGTTTCAGCCTATCGTTGCTCCTCATCTTTTTCGATTACCCTCAGTTCCCTAGTGTGTTTCTAAACGATTAACGCCAGGGGTGGATACAAACTAGAAAGCAGTTTAAACTAATTAACCATGAGGGGCGTTGAATGGTCTACATAATTTGCAAATTCACTGGGATATAGCAAAACCTATATTTTACAGTCACTAATTGTGGCTAGCCTGTGTTGTGTTGACGTGCGCTCGATGGACACTATTTCTAAAGCATTTGAAACTAAAAGATATATATATATATATTTTATATATTACTCCCAAGTATGAAATAACTCAAATCTGATTTTCGGCAAGCTCACCGTAGGATAATTGAATACGTTACCATATATATGAGCATTAAGCGAAGACTGTTAGTATGTGCTTGCTTTTTGCATTAATGTTTAGCTGATCTACTAGCTAGTATATTACGTGATATTCCTTGATTCAGCTTTCATTATTGTTCATATCTTATAACATTATCTTCGTTATAACCAATGCATTAACCGGATGGAAAAATTAAAAGACAGCAGATGTACAACCTTTACAGCGCTGCTCACTATGCACTGGAACGGTGGTCATGCAAAAGACACTGTGGAAATTAATCTACGGACAAAATTACAACTATAAACTGCGAATTTATTATGAAATGTGGAGCGGTTTTTATTTTAAGAAATAATAGTCATGGAATTATAAAAAGCCTTGAAATCCAAAGGTGGAGAAATATCTTAGCATTACAGTCCCCGTAGCAGATTGACTTTAACCAGGAAAGCATCAGTCCGCTGGCGGTGTTGAGACCTACCAGAGTCAGACAGAATGCGCAATGTTGGCAATTGCCAAAAGATTAAATGCCTAAACTGCACTTTTCTGGGTGTATACTTTCTGTCTGATTGGGCTATTTTATGAATTTAGAAGATAACCAAATTAATGACACAAGGAAACACTGCACCTAGCCATGTGTGATATGCGGCGATTAGTACAGATTTTAGTGAAGTGTTACCCGTGGCACCCGATTACTTGGAATTTAAAAACAAACCGTCCGAGGTACTTGTTTATTCAGACGTACTAACGTGATACAATGACAACAACAGTAAGAGACTCCTGGTGGGCTAACACACGACACGATATGCACCACTTGGATTAAGCCGCAGGAACATCAGTTGACAACTACCACCCATTGTTCATGAAGGTCGAAGGTACCTGCTAGATAAAAATAAATTATGACGGCATCAACTGAAATTGTGGTGAATACTTTGGCATGATGCTGCGTGATTAAGCTAATTGTGCTTAAGAAAACCTAGCTTAAACCAGAGTAAATTTTGCAAGCATTAATGCCTTGTGCTTGTATATTCAAAGGAAGCAAACAGGCGAATTACATTTTTGCACTACATTCACAAATAGCATTTACAAACAACAAATGGTGGGTTAGGTAATCGGAATGATATGCCTTTTTCTTAACAGTTCCTTGGCAAATTACTCACCTGCTTTCGTTGCCTCTTATCTAGACCTTGATTTGCACGCTTCCCTGCTTCCGCAGTTTGCTCGGGTGCTTGTAGCAAATTGCCAACACTCAGAGGTTCATTAAACACTAAAATGTCAAAAGCATGTTATCCTTAAGATTAAAATATTAAATTAGTCAAAGTGTGTACATTCGGGTTGACTCACCCAGAGAGTTTGCCAATTCACAATTCCAAAAAAGAACCAGTGCGACACAAAGAGCGCTGGTTGAGAACATCCTCTATGCTGTGTATCCATCCCTCTGTAATTTATATTCTTTACCATCACTATGCTTTCTCATACCAGCCATGTGTTTTTATTCGACTTCATCAATTTTTTCACACACATCGATGAGTTCAATTGTTGTTTCGACCACCTTGGTAAATTAGGTCTAATGAGTGCGGCAGCTGTTCACACATGTCCTCCTGTGGTGCTTACATGAGTGCTATTTGACACCCAACCAAATTTTAGCTAGTTAAGCACCACGGCAGACCTGGTGCAGTGTTTTTAGTTTTCGATTATCGTGGGTACGGAACTGATCCATAAAGACAAACGTAACCAGTATAAATCCGTAGCACGCAATCATGCTTTAAATCGTTTAGGAAGACTGCTGAGGAAACAGGCTGTAATATAAGTTACGCGTATTGTTGCTTGTTTCTTTCCTTTAAACCGGTTTCCCTCTTTTAATTAGCAATAATTTCTGATAATCAAGTTGTAATTTATATTTTAACCGTGTTGCCTGAGTCTCTGTTTTAACGTTGTAGCTCATTCGCCTTCGAGCGTTAACTATTATGTATTGCAGCCTAGCAGGCAAAATCGAATGCCGTGTATGACCACTGGAATGATTTTATTTGCAATCAATTTGCGTTAATAATACTAGATGGGTAATCTCATAGCTACACAGTGCAATGTTTATTTGATCCAGCGGCGTACCAGCGAAAGGCGCATTGAGCTACAGAAAGGTTACAGAAATCTAATCTACAAAACGGGAATAAGTCGTAATATGCTACAACTTATGACCTCTGGTTAAAATAATTTAGAAACTAAAGGGCAATTCGGCGTTTGACTAATGTATCGGTTTTGCTTATGTACGCCTCTTTATAACAGTAAACACCAAGTTAAACTCTAACGGAGGGTTACATTTACTGTACCTATCAAAACCAATACGTTGAAATAATAAATGTAGTGTAATCGTTTTCTGTGCAACCTCTAGGTTGCTTTTATGTCTGCAAAATACTGCAGAAAATAACATGATGCCTGCTGGCTCTAAACATTATAGGAAGACGACCACAAACTGTGAAATAGGCAGACAATCTTCACATGCAAATAATTGTTTTTACTTTTAAGAAAGCCTCTCTTTCAGTTTGTATACACACACCTCTTTTAGCAAAGCGACTTGCTTACGTGATCCATGCAGCAAGGATATGGGAAGCGGTTGGTTATGTATGGTATTAAGCCAATTGTAAGGAGCCAAATTGTGTGGTATTTATTTGTCTTCCTTTGCTACCCCATTGAAAACCTGGTCCCCGTAGGTAAGGACATTCTGTTTAATCCACAATTTTTTCTGTTTAGTAATGGTTCGCTGCGTTCTAACATCTTGGGACCGTCCGCCAAATTATCACTTGTTGTACATTTGAAATACGTGGTCACTTGGAGCTGCAGCTTAAGATATGCTGTAATAATTACTCTTGAAACACGAACCCGGTGTACGTTGATGTAATAAAAAGATTATATGAAAATACTGAGAATCTTTTATAACTGTTCAGTCTGATGCTGAAAAGTTTATGGTCACATGCACCCTTGTGATATCCATCAATCCCAGTTAAGATTTGCTCTAGTTGATGGTACCGTAGTTATTGTACATACATTGCTAATGCAAATATTTTGTACAGAAGATTTCGTTGTGCCCTGTTAGGCCCAATAAAGAAGATTATGTATTTCTACGTATATCAACCAAAAACTACGAATAGCCTGGCAGTGTTACAAAAACTAGCTGTGTTGATCATCTAAACGTTTCCACTCCATTTGTATAAGCACCGAATTTCGCGAAAGGTGTGTATGTCAGGCGAATTCGAATCACAAATAAGCGGTTTTGTCAAGGATATTAATAGGCTGACGCAGAATACGCCGGTAAAGCGTTGTCAAGTGTAAAGCACAGAAAAAGCTAAAGAATATATAGCTACCTACACACAGAATGCAGACGTAATGCAAATGTGGCAAACATACTTTGACTGCCTTACTAACATCCATCCAGCTTTTGCCATACCAACAAGCAGCATGATTTGGAATGGCGTCTGGAAGCTATTATTTGGCCTGCTAACTGTTGGGAAGCGGTATGTGGAGAAACCGAAGCTTCATTATCAGGACATCATCTTAGTGAGCCACACAAGTTCTACACTTGGCTGATTATCATGCAAAACGGAAGCTCTTAATGGGCTTACGTGGCGCCATTTTATCATGAAGACTTTCACCTTGGTGCAAGTGATAGCATTTGTGCATGCAGTGAGGAAGCGGTAATTGCGGAAGCGACAGGCGCCATCGGGTTATAGCCATCAACACCAAATGTAAGGTACTGTAGCACACGCGGTCACGAATGCCTGTGTTACGTAAGCTAAGTGAGCCATTAGCGAGGCCAAACGGTTTGACACCTAAATGACAGCTGGTGGTGCTGAGGATGTTGTCAAGACCGGCGCACTGTTGGTAGGTAAAATGTGTTCCATATATTAACCGCGTGATTGCATGCAGCGTCTTTATTTCAGGGGTGGTTGTTATCTTGTTCTTTTGCTTTTCTATCATTTATTAATATGTACGTTGCATTCTTCTGTATACGTGCACAACTCCGTTTAACTACTTATTTGACTTCAATAACCTTGCACTTTATTTAACTACCATCGCTAACAACTTGAACGTATGTCGCTTGTACATTAATAAATAAATAAGTAAATAAACGTTTTATTTCTCAGCAGTGCGAGGCACAGACCAATTGGGTGGTCTTATCAACATGTACCACGTGATCGCATAACAAAGTTAATTATTCCTCTTTTACTCAATGGTTCCCTTTTGGGTTTTTGAATTAATTAGCAGTTTGGAGAAGTAGAGAGATACCGATATTGGGAATAATAATAAATGCATATTTCAAGGAAAGGTCAAGTAAAGTAATACGGGTTTCCATGGAACTGTCCCCAAGTGACGCTTCCACGCAGGGTATTCCCACATTTGGTTTCACTCGCACTTCCATACTACAATTGGCTCTTTCCCTGTTTGGCAAGATAGTAAATAGGACACCAGAACTGGGTATCAAAAGCTTTTTTTCATTCTAGGGTTGTTTAATGCAAACAATATAAGCGATGAAACTTCAGCCCCTTCTGTCATGGGAATCAAACAAGTACAGCACTTTTTGATTTAAGCCAGCTAGTCAGTAGTAATATCATTTGCATGGGTGTACTTGCTTAGTTTTAAAGCTGTAATGCGTTACCACAAGAGATCAGCCAATTCATGACCAACACTGACACAAAGAAGGATGTAAAGTATGTGGAATTATACAACATAATGATGGATGCAAACGCTTGCCGATAGGCCCAGCATAATTTGATAGAAAATCTTGGCGAGTGACAACCATGGTACAGAGACTTTAGATTGAAAGGCATAATGTATCCATGAACCAGTGCGTCATAGGAGAGAACAGATTTGGTTAGACGGATTGATAGGCGTAAGGTCGTTCTCAAGTAATTACTCAAGAATGCAAAAATATGTAGGTAATTTAATATTACTGAAAGGAACAGAGGACATGATGTCTTTCATATGTGTCCAGGACCTCTCTCATACAAATTACCTGCAGTCACCGTTTGGCTTAATGTGGACCAGATATTTGCAAGTCAGGTGAATATTAATCATGCGTCTGAATTGTGGATAGGTGGTGCAGTTGCTAACAATAGATGGAAGTTTCTTCCATATTAACGCATATTTTACGGAGAAAAATTTGAACGGTGCTTTTTGCGAGACTTTGGTACTTACACTGTGCGCTAGCTGTTTCTTAATTCATTGCGCATACGAGTCTGAAACTCATGCTGTGCCTGAGTATTGAAGCTTAACCCAAATAGTAAGCTGTATAGAAGACACAGATTGCGTTTAAATCCCGCCTAGCCATAGCGGCTCCAGATTTAGCGTCTTGTTACCCTCAAGGTATGTTATGGTATTAGGCATGTTCAAAAACATGTTGTGAATAACCAATGAATGTTTTCTAATGCTAATATATCCACCTTTCTCAGGTTACTCTGCAATACGGTACAGTACTCTAGCTAAGGCCTAACACAAATTTAAAAATCCTGAAGCCTGGAATCCCTCAAAATAAGAGCCCGACTTATGTCGTCGATCACTTTTCTGGCAGAAGCCTGCAGGAATATAACATGCTCTAATAAATTAAACGAGGCAGAATATCTTAGACCAAGGTCTCAGAATACGTCACACTCAGCACTAGGGGTATCTGTTAATGTAAGGATGTTTAGAGAAGGGTCACAGCAGAGATACAATAGATTACTCTTGTCATTGACAATGTGTAACTTCCAGGAGTTACTCCAGAGCTCCAATGCGGACAAATCAAAATGAATATGGGCTAAGTTAGGATTATATTTCCAGGGAAGGAACAATACACCATTGTAACCTCATTACCGGAAAGGAACGGCTTTTCTTATGAGTTTTCTGCAAGGAGATATGTTAAATATACTAAGAATAAAAGCGGACCTAGCACGCTACCATGAGTCACTCTACAAGTGATTGTAGTGGTTTCAGATGTATACCTACCGATTTTGACTACTTGCTTTTTACCCACGAGGTAGGAAGACAACCTACCTAGAAACTGGTATGTGATACCTTAGAACATAAGCTTCCACAACAATAAATTGTGTGAAGGACACGAAAAAAAGCCTTTCGGATCTCGAAAAAATATTACGCTGATGGCACTTTCGGCGTCTCATTCTCTAGTCACATAATCTAGGTATTCTAATTGACAAGTATTGTACAACCTACCTTTCAAAACCGTGCTGATGTTTACTGAGTAAGCTCATAGAACTCAAATATTCGATTATGCCTTCTTTAACCATTC